TGATTAGGGCACTGAAATTTCGATTGAATCATGAGTATTGCATACATATGAAACACGCATATTTCTTTCATTTTTTGTGATGTTGCTCAAGAAAATCTCTTCCTATCACACTCTCATATTAAGGGGAAATGATCCTAGGATGATCCTTTATAAGATGAAAAATAAGCGTTAACCTACATAGCCACAGTAAAATAATAGACAATCAAGAAAGGCTTTAGCTGAGAAGATCGAATGAATGCTAGAGGAGCCTGATTTCATTTTACTGTTTAAGCTCTAACCCTCTTATAGGCCAGGTGTAAGGAACGATATTTCGAATAAGAGACTAGGCTAAACTAAGAGGGTCAGTTATAAATACCAAGGCAGCCTATCAGGATCTGAATTTTGTTAAAGTGAAGTAATTTCCATACGAAGATCAAGATGTTCTGTTCTCTATTTTGGTCGCAGTCTCCTTTCAATGCATAGTAGTTGTTTGACTTTGTTTTCGCACCTTGGTTATATTGACAGGAAGATCTAGAGTATCGCATCTTGTCCGGAGTCTATAGTATGTTTGATAATTTCCATAGTCAGGAATGTATCAAGTCTACAATCCGACTTGAAGAATGTACCAAGTCCACGATCCGACTCTGGAAATTATCATGCATACTATGGACTCCGGACAAAGTGCCTTCCTCTAGGTCTTCCTGCCAATATGACTAAGTTGCGAAAACAAGATTAAGCAACTTCTGAAATAATTTAGTTCGAATGTGACTTGCTACTTGCTTTAATAGCCCCATGTGTTCATGCTTTTTTGCTGACTCTTTAGGAAATAATTGATATTTTTCCACTAATTCCTTCCATAAAATGTATAATTCAAGTAATCTAGCCTCATTAGATTATAGGATTTCTCATCGGTGCCAGTAAGGAATTTATATTCCTCCTTCAAATAGTTCATTCTAATGATTTCACTCTCAACGATACTAACGTCATTGCTAATGGATTAAATTTTGTTGATCGACTTTATTTTATTTTATACAGATCAAGCAATTTGAAAGGCGCATAGATTGGCTTATGACCGGTAGCCGTCGTCTCTTTGGCACCCTTATAGAAAAGAGACTTCTCTTTTTGCTCGACCTATCTGCTGGAAATGCACCCTACTTCATGCATATTCAGCAAGCTCTGCGCAGCCTTTTCGAAGAGCAGATTATCCAGTCTGACGCTTTTAATTTAATCACATTTGGCGGTTGCAAAATTCGTTCATTCCGGCCTCATTTAGTAGAGACGAATGCAGCAAACCTTCAGAAGGCCTGGCTTTGGATACGAAAGCGACGTTGTGGAGGAACCCGTAATCTGCTTGGGGCTTTAAGGTTTGATATATCGTCATAATAAATTGTCATTTCTCGATTTTGTCGAGGGAAAACAAATGCCCGTTGGCTGTTAGATTAGTTACAATTTGCTTCTCCTCTCCCTAACTTATACATTTTAAAAGTGCTGATTTAGATCTCTTAATTTCGTAGGCATTTTCCCACTTGCTTAGACACTACATTTGATACATGAAATGGTAGTTTCGAAACTCTGTTTATATACGAAAAATTTCATTTGATTTCTTTCATACTAATACTCACAGATTTTCTGTCTTGGGAATGACGAAGCATTCAAACTTAGTTGACGCTTCGGATTCTGAATACAACAAGACTTTTGAGGCGTGCAAACATCAAATGGTTTTTACTAGACTGATTAGGAAT